CTTGACCACCACACCACCATCAGACAGCGCGACGGTGCGATCATTGCGCCCTTATATTTGAACTCCAAGGTGAAACAAGGCACAAGGCACTGGGACACTGGGGTTTGTTCTGCACTTGTGTTCGGTTCCGGTGCCACTTGCCAAGTGTAGTGCAGTAGACTCGAGACTTCAAACTGGGCTTCCCTGCGGTAGTTATTATGGTTGGACCCAAGTACACGCATCTCTAGAAGCCCTGTTAGTAGAGTTTAGACCCTAGGACCAGAATTTGGAAATCAGCACTCTCGCAAAGCCCAGAACCCAATTGCCACAAAGCACTCTGCCATGCTTCGAACCGAGGTTACAAGTCACGAAATCGATTTCCCGAAAAGTATGGCAAGCAGAACGCGGGCATCTTTCCATGTAGAGTGAAGTGCAAAGGTATCATAACCTTGGGAAGAATCCCTAGAGTGGTCTTCACATAGCCCCTCTGCGTCCCAATCACTGTTTGGCGTCAACTCTGGGGTAAAATCATAACGGCTCCTTGGGCCACAGGCGATGAAATGCATAAACGTGGTCAAAACCGCACCGCCTAATTAAGTGGTTGAAGTGAAGGTAGATAGAAAGATAGCTAGATAGATAGATCCATAGATATATAAAACAACAGATAGATAGATGGATAAATGGATAAATGGATAGATGGATAGGTGGATGGATAGATAGATCGATAGATAAAGAGATAGACAGATATATAGACAGACAGACAAACAGATAGAGAGACAGATCGAAAGATCGATAGAACAAAGATAGATGGATAGATGGATGGATGGATAGATAGAGAGACAGATAGAGAGATAGATAAACAGATAGATAGATAGATAGATCGATCGATCGACCGACACATAGATAGAGAGAGAGAGATAGATAGATAGATAGATAGATAGATAGATAGATAGATAGATTAACAGATTGGTGGATAGGTGGATAGATAGAGGGACTGGTGGATAGGTGGATAGGTAGACGGGTAGACAGAAAGATCGTTTATCGCATATTTGTGTATATATATATATATATGTGCATGCGTGTATGTCTCTTTAACATATATATATATATACACACATATATGCATATTAAATATAGACATGACTACATCCCGCACAGCCAGGGGCGTACTGGGCTCTGTCAGGGTTTACACTCTCACAACTCGGACTAGGTCGGCGTGATACCTTGAACAGGTACCTTCAAGCTTTATCAGTGGTTTAGGGTTTGCTCAAGGGGTTTGTGGGGGTTTACACTCGGTTTTGCCACAATTACAAAGGAGGCAACCTGAAATCATCAGTTCAGAATCCCTCTGAACTCTCCATTTACCATACCCTACCCTAGACCCGAAACCTTAAAGCCCATACTTTCAACACCGAGTATGTGTAGATATACAATGTATATATATATATATAGACATACATATATATGTTTTTTTTTGTTTTGCTGAGCCTTATAACTGTAGAGCTAGAAAGCCTGCACACATTCAGCCCTATGGAGTCCCTCTCCTTGGTCATGTACCTCCCAACCCGGAGGCTTGAGAAGGACCAGGCGGTCGGAGAAAGTGGCTGAAAGTGATGGCTCCTGTTCTCATGTTCTGGGTCTTTGATGTAACGTTTCGCCGTTTCGGGTTTGGGCATTTCTGGGGATTTGGGTCTTTGATTTCTGTGATTGAAGGATTATAAACACGGATTGAAATTTGCTCTTTGAAGCCATGTCAGCTTAAGGCTCGGGATTCAAGAGAAATTTGGGCTTGGGGCGAAGTCGTTTTGGCTTTAGGCCCACTTTGGGCCATTTGTACAGTCCAGGGCAAGCACTGATGAAGGGCTTAGAGGTTTAGGGCTTCAGGTTTGCTTGCTGCATACAAGTCGGTTCCGTGGCTTCGGGGTTTTAGGTTTAGGGTTTAGGAGTTTAGGAGTTTAGGGATTTAGGGGTTTAGAGTCTTTCTTGCTCACAAGCATGCCAACTGCAGCCCAGTGATCTTGAGATGGTGGAAGCAACAGCCTGGAGCAAGTTCAAGGCCAGGAAGACATGTAAAATGTAAGAAGACTCCTTCAAGATAAATTTCAGGCCCGGCGGTGGTGTCGCTACATCCAAGTCCAGCTGCATAGCCCTAAACTCCGTAAGCCTATGGGGGCCAGGGCCAGTGAGGCAGCTGAGGCCCGAATGTACGACACCTCGCACTCCGAAGCCTTTGTCCTGGCAAGCTTTGTCTCGACACAGCAAATACCCTATAGAAATAAGTGGTCTTTCTGTACAATGATGCCCACTGACACCACAATAATGACTGCAAGAAATATGAAACAACTAAAACTATTCGGAATAATCAAAAAGGGTACCACGCATCTTGAGCAACCCCGCACCTCATCCCAAAAGCCCTAGTTGGGACCTAAACCCGCATGTGCTCATCGTTTACTCAAGACTGGGGTTCCAGTCGGAGGATGCTCTACTGGGTTACCTGGAACCCTAAGCTCCTGGATGTCCCAGTGCGTATCTTTCAGGGAGCGCTCCACCTTTGGACAACTTCGAAGTGCTCAGGCCCGTCGGTTCTCAGGGAATCTCAGCAACGTTTTCGGAATTCTGGATAGCGTCAGCCACGCGGCTCCCTCAGCTCAAGCGTGTGTGCCAGACCCTGCCTCCGGCCGATCTTGCACTTGAATTCGTCTTCCAGATGGGGCTCGGTCGCAACTTTGCCCAGCTTGCAGAGCCAACTTCCGAACTCCTATCGACTGGTCAGTGCGGTCGAACGCCAAACATGCCACATGCTTGAAGCGAGACTCATGTCAAGTCGTTGCAGCATCCCACAGATAACGTCCCTACCAATGCTACTGCTGCTTCTTCTCCTGCTGTACAAGCATTACTAGCACTACCACTACTACCACTACTACTACTACTACTACTACTACTACTACTACTGGTACTGCTACTGCTGCTACTACTACTACTACTACTACTACTACTACTACCACGACGACTATTACTGCTAATCCTACTACTACTACTACTACTACTGCTGCTGCTGCTGCTGCTGCTGCTGCTGCTGCTGCTACTACTACTACTATTACTACTATTATGACTATTATTATTACTACTACTTCTACTATTACTGCCACTACTGCTGATACCAATACTGCTGCTACTGCCACTACTGCCACCACTGCTGCTGCTGTTACTGCCACTGCCGCTACTACTGCTACTGCTTCTATTGTCGCTAGTACTGCCATAGCGACCATTACCTCTACCACTATCAATGCTACGACCACTATCATTGTTGCTACTATGACTCTTCTACTACCACCACTGACAGCTGAACCCTTTCAGGAGCACCGTGCCTCCGATTTTGTAGCGGCGGCGACGACGACGACGACTACTACTACTACTACTACTGCTACTACTAGTGCTACTACTAGGGCTAGGACTGGCGCTAGTGCTGGTGCTGGTATTTCTACTACTGCCACCACTACTACTACTATTACTACTACTACTACTACTACTACTACTACGACGACGACGACGACGACGACGACGACGATTTATCAGTGCAACTGCGACGATCCACTGCTACGACTGCTATGACGCTCCTCACTGCTCTTTCCCGTCTCCACGCACCTCTTCCGCCAAAACTTCCGTTTCGTTTCCTCTACCGAGACGAGCCTTTTCCGGGAACACAACGGAAGGGTGCACTTTATTCCAGGAGCTGTGCGGGTCTGCGGGACCTCCACAGGACATTCCCGGAAATCCTGTCATCGCACCCTGCCTTCAAAATCTGCAGTGCTGCAGTTTCTCAGGAAGCATGACGAGACCCGGCTCCGACTGCTGTTCATGGCCACTCGGTGATGGGTTTCGGTGTTTGGTTCGTCGTCGCTGGCTGTCTCCTCATGACCATCAGCAGCCACCCTTTCGCTACGGTTTCGACAGAATACCACAAAGATAGGCATCACCATCAGCATCATCGTCAGCATCATTCCCAGCATCATGTTGAAAGCAATGACTCAAATAACTTCAATATCGTAAGACCCTTCAGCTCACCCCTATCGCCAGCAGCACTATCGTCATCGCCACTGTTGTCCATATCAGATAGCATCTTCTCAGCATTTGCGTTTCAAGATGCCAGAGAAACGACGATGACATCGGTCAGGATCCCCAACAAGAACCATGGCAGCAAGTAAGGCACAACAACCACCCCAAGCAACACCAGAATCACGAGCTCCACTTCCCAGCATCGAGATCAACCACAACTTAGTAACAATAGGATTCGGCTCGATTTTGATTGGCTCACGTCTCACACTCCCTCAACCTCTGCATTATTATCATCACCAGTTTCGTTGTGGTTATGATGGTGCTTCTTACTATGATGTGCATGCATAGCTCATCATAGCTCCACTTGTGGCATTTGGTCTTTGGCCCAATCGCAAGTAAGCAACTATCGACCATGGACCACAGACTACTATGTATCACAGGAATTCAATCATCAATTCGGATTTGGAGGCGTTGCATCTCACCCGAGGCGTTGCTTGTTCTGAACCCATATGGGTCAAATTGGCTGTTCAGCTCTTGTTATCCGCAGGTTCTAGATCCCGGACGGTTTTCAGCCGAGGAGAACCTGCGGGCTTACAGCCGACACGTACATCATAACCATGCTGGCGGCCGGACTTGCTCTGGGGACTGGGAGCCTTCCCTGCAAGCAGGTCTCAGCAGAGCCAAGATCGTAGAGCTTTGCACGTTCGACTTTAGGCAAAATTTTGATTGCATCGTGCATGTGAACATGTGGCCTCTCATTCCGAAGAGCCCTGTCCCAGACATACAACCCAGGCTCGATCAGCCAAACAAACGAACGAATTTCATGGGCTCCACCCCGCAATTGACGACTACTTGCATGCTGCGAATGCAAACACACCTCCTGGGCTTTGACTTCACACCTTCCTCACTCGCAGCCTGTGAACGCACAAGCTGGTCGTCGGCATGGTTTGTCGAACACAGAGTCAGTGTGTAACAGCTGCGCGGAAGCCGCAAACATTTTCCAACGGGTTCGGCGCGCCTCGCCGCATGCTCAGGCCATAACCCAGAAACCCCCACGTTCACATACAGACTGCTCGGGCTGCCCGAGTCTTGGTACCACGGCCTAGCAGAAGGTCCACGGCTTCTTAAGACCAACAACCGGATCCCAACTTCTTGAACAACTGACAACTGCTGCTGTTACACAATTTCAGGAGATCTTCATCGACGGCAAAGCATGCGCGTCCGTGCGCATCCATGCGCAGATGTACTCTCGACGCCGCTCGCATGGGTTCCAAAGCGGTTTTCAATTTATTCAGAGGCCTCCAAACAGGCAGAATATCTTGCTTAGCCATGGGTTTGTACACGCCTAAACCTATATTATATATTGGCGTCAGATAGAAAAAACTTGACTCCACCTAGTTTCACGCCGACTTGCTCCTGATAGACCTCAACTGGCTGGTCCGAGTTGTGAGTGCGTAAATAGGTGTTATGTGAGTATTGAAGCCACAGAGGCCCTTGTTTGCATATGTTTGTGGCGCAGTCGTCTTTATTCACAAGGGCTTACATCTGAAGTCTATAGCGGCACCTGCCATTGCCAGAGCTATCCCGAGTTGCTGCAAGCTCCACCCTGACTGAAAGCTTATTTGAACTGCGTCACTAAAGCCTTCGAGTTCGACGGATCTCCAGCCTCACGCGTGTCGCTTCTTAGCAGTCGACAGTCCTGAAACCCAAGTCATGCAAACCCTAGGTCGGCAGCCGCAGTTCTCAGTCACATCGTCAATGGCCGATATCCGTATGTCCTTGGCTAAGGTGAATCTCCTGATAACCATAGTTTATTTCTTTAGTTTCAGCATGTGGCCCTTAATTGTCCAGTAATAGCCGTAGTAGTCACAAACCGCATGGATACTCATCATGTTTACCACTATTCGTAATTTATGTGTCTTTTCATCCGTTTGCACAGTCATACTTATGTACATACATGCATGCATGCATACATACATACATACATACATACGTACACATGGACACATCCATACAGATACAGACATTCACATGAATGCAGTATCATGCATCTGTACATACATATGCATGAATGCAGACATACGCATACATGAAAACACGCATACATATGTGCACACCTCTCTACATAGTACGTACAGTTCGACATATCTATGCACCCTCAGGAAGCCATGCCAAGCAAGAGGTGGCGGATAGAATCCCTAGAACGTAACACCCCAAGCTTCTGAACAACGTCAGGCTTGGAGCCCCACGGTCATTGGGGAAATATTGGCGGCAGCCACAATCACAATCATGGCCGCTTGTCCGTGTTAGACTGTCAGTTTGCTGGAGCGGCTGAGTGCGTGGCTAGCTTTTAATCTCGCCGCTAGGCTCCCATGCAGCCTGTAATCGGTAAGGTGAGGTTGGCATTTGCACAACTTGTCCGGACTGCTATCACCGAAGATAGTCGAACTGTACCTGCCTTTGGCCAAGTACATTGCACCACCTTGTTGAGCACGTGTACAATTTCTCTTGCATCGGTGTGGCATCGAGGAGTACGGAGGCTGTTTGCGGTGTGCAAGAAGGCAGATCCTGTCTATGCTGCTGACATCTGAAGAGTGTTCTGTCTGAGCAGAGGTATGCCAACCAGCCCAATCACAAAGAGTTTACGAAAGCCTGCCATTAAGGACAATGGTGGTGGGTGTGGCCCCGACACTTTGCGAATCAAGACACGAACAATCATCGAGTTCGCACCTTTGCCGGATTCTGCGATGACGTGAGTTCAGGCCGGCGGTTGAATGCAAACCGGATTCTGGAATGTGTGGCCTGATCCATCGGAGCGTCAGTTCTTGCGGCTTTGCACGGTGCGCACCGCCGCTGAATCAGCGGGTGACAACGGACAGGAGCCCGCACAGCCTTGCTCACGACTGCTCGAGAGGAAGCTAGACCGCGCCCCATGTGCAACCACAGCAGCCTGGACGCGAACCCGACATCAAGCCAAGACCTGAAACTACGAACCTTGTCAAAGCCATTGAGCAAAAAGCCCATTCTGCCTTCTGCAGTACCAGGTGAGGGCTAAACCGTGTGTGTACATATGCAATTGGATTGCGTACACCCGCACGCCTGGTTCGTTTCGAGGTTCACATCGAGGCACTTCGCAATATGTGGCAATCCCAGCTGTGCAGCCGGAGAGGATAACTCGTGAATCGAAGCCGCTATAATATGCCGCTATAAGTCGCTCATCCAGCCAATCCGCGTGAGCTGCGCGGTGAAGAGTTAAAGTCGCAGCCATACAAACATACCATCGGGGCGCTACATACGTTACGCAGGCCTTTGCTGGGCGATGTTCGGTACAGAAAAGCTCCCAAAGCCGCTGCGGAGAGAGCTTGCAGGTGAGCACACCCTGACGGTGATGATCAAGAGCCCCTTCGGGGAGCCTTGGAAGAGCATCAAGTGCGGTTTGGGCAGGACTGGTGGACTTGTGCCCCGGGGCTAGTGCTATAGTCGTTGCCACTGTCACTGCTGCGATCACTTCCTGCTTATCATTGTGGATGTTTGCTCTTTGTGGCGATGATATGCGATGATGGCTATGCTGCTGCTACTGATGATGATGACTCATGATTTCGAGGCTGATGGTAGTGGTGGCGATGGTGGTGCTGGTGGGGGTTATGTTCGTGGTAAATGTGGCCGTGATTCCCGATCAAGTTTATTGTTTAATATTGCTTGAATACAGCATATGTACAAACCTCATCATTGTATCCATCACTGCTCATGCTTGGAGGTATAAGCCGGCAAATCAGCCAGAAGTCAGCACGGCATGGCTCAGAGAATCATATCTGACTGGTTTCGAGTACGTGGTTAAGCCATGAGCATCTGCACTCGCATGCACCTGGGCCAAGAAATGCGATCTTTGGACCGGATGGCACAACCACCCTGCTGGCAAAGGAGGACATGTCGTGGCCTCAGAGGAGGGCGTGGGCGGCTTTCTGCAATCGTAAAGTATCAGACATGCGTATGTGATGGTGCTGGAAGGCTGCCGGCCGACATGGGTTCGTCCATTTGCTTACAGCCTTTGTGGGTTGTTTTATAGCGATGTTAACGATTTCACCTGTTTGGTTTCATGGTCGCGGCCGACCCGTATGGAACCAGACTGCGAGAACGAGATAGCCCGAAATGCTTGACGTCCTGGATCTTTTGCATCCATTCAGCAATTCGCAAATGTAGAACAGCCGGGCATGCCACGATTGTAGGGGCGAGCGCGAATGTCTTACCCTTGAGCTACTGGGAAAGGGTGTCGCGGCCTGGACTGAAGACCCGCTGTTCCAGCGCGATGACCTTCTGTTTTCTCATCTTCGTTGCTTCGTGGGAAGCTGGAGGGTGGGGTGCTGCTGGGGGACGGCCAGGGGTCACAGAGAAGGCCGGGATCTTACGCAAGCCATAGACCCTATAACACAGCGCGTGCTGCTGTTGTTGTTTAACCTGAAGCACTTTAAACCCCACACCCAACCCTGAACCCCGCCTAAATGCAGGCTCTAAGCCTAAACCAGAACATAAACCATCAGCCCTCACGAACCTACACCCCAAACCCTCTCTAAGCCCTTGTCGAGTCGAACTCCATCCTAGACCCCAAAACCCCACAACCACCCCACAAGGGGAAGGAGGGGCCCCACCCCACACCCCACCCAAAGGGGTGGGGGCATCCTGAACCTGGGGGGGGGGGAGGCCCCCTATGGTCCAGGATGCGCGCCCCTCCCTGTGGGTGGGGTGTGGGGTCCCTGTCCCCCCTGTGGTGTGGTTTTGGGGTTGAGGATTTAGTTTAAGCTTTTGAGTTTGGGGTTTAGGGCTTCGAGTCGACAGCTTAGGGAGGGTTTGGGGTGTAGGTGATTAGGGTGACGGTTTATGTTCGGCTTCAAGCTTAGAGCCTGCATTTAGGGGGGGGGGGGGTTAGGTGTTTAGGTTGGGTGTAAGGTTTAAAGT